ACGTGATGGCAAATAGGCTTTCCAACATATGTACATAGTATAATAGTAAGAAATGTATCTCTCTCTCTCACACACATGTCCCGCGTTCTACTGTTCCCACACATCTACTGTCCTGCAACCAGGTGGTCACCCTATGCTGCAATGTATATTATGAGGAAAAAAGTGTTTTTTGACCATGGATGCATGTAAGCCTATTGTTGGAGACCTTCAAAACTAAATTAGGAACCTTTAAAATAGCATTATAGGGACGCTATAATCTAGTTAAAAATGCATCGAGGGTACATGACAGCACCCTTCTGAATCATAAAATGACACAAATGGAACATTCAATGGTCTTGTGGACCTCATGGATATCCTTCAGTCCACCATTTGGGACTTCAATCCACCATTTAGCCCTGTAATACATTTTTGACATAATGTGTCGTGTATTTTTTTTTTTTATCCCAAATATGTTTGTGCACCTAAAGTTCAACACCACAGTTTCCACAGTCATTACAATCCAGCCAAAATCCATGCAGCAGTCAGACTAGCACAAGCATTAATGCTAAAGTATGACTTCAGTTTTTATTGATTTCGGAAAGTAGTTATGAGAGGCATAATGCTGTAATTTCAGAAGCTCATGAGTCACTATTTACAGGATGGGGCTTTATCCTTAAAATACATTGAACATGTAATATTACAAATTTCTTCTCTGGCTGTCAGGATGTGATTTATTCTATTTATATAAAAAGAAAAACACTTACAAATTATTTATATATTCTTACGTACATTTTATTATCGACATACTTGTGTTTTTGAGTTCTAATGTACATATGTCAATGTAAATACATTTATTTAGTGCATGTATTTGTATTTAAAATGTAATTGTGTTATATAAACTGCAAAGTACTGTATGTATGAATTCTTTAGTGTTGAGAGTAGGACAGTGTTTCTATGATGGGCCTTCAGCTTTCCTTAATTGTGATCCGCACATGGCTTTGTTCTTCACATTTGGTCTAGGCACTCTGGTTTGCCAACCTCGGTGTCACCCAGAAAGCAGACGCCAATGTGCAAAATGCCCATGAAGGACACTGACCTAGCAGAAGCTCTCTCCTAACTAGGAATCTGATCAATACGATCTCTTAAAGTGTGTTTATTTATGGGAAAATGTACTTGATGTCTCACCGACAGCAAAATGTCATTGTTATTGTGAATTGTGTGAACTTGAGCGCTGAGTCATGTCATGATATCATGACGTCTCAGACAGGCATTCAAGAAGAGGAGCTTATGTTCTTAAAACGGTCTAATCTGCACCTTCTTATCCAATTACTGCTGGCTGCTAATAAAATGTCAAAGACCTTTATTTAGAAAAAGTCGCCAGCAAATGAGCAACCATTTCAATTGGGGACATTGTTTTGAGTCTTTGTGCGCGCTCTGACTGATTGTAGTGGGTTTTTTATTGTTGACTTTATTGACTATAATGACTGTTGCCATTGTGACCATTTTAAGGCTCTTTGCACTTTGATGGCAGGAATGATTGTATTTTAAAAGCTCTTTTTGAATGAAGAGAGAGTTGCAATATATCTCGATTGTGTATTTATTTACAGAATAAAATATTCAAGCATGTAAAGAGACATCACATGCATGGTTTTATTTGTTTTTAACGACCCTAGAAGTTCGATTTAACCATCAAAAATTTGAAGAAAATATTTTATATTGTTTTAATATAAATATAAGGGAAGAACAAAATGTTACACTTGGTTAAGGTATTTATCTGGCAAGATTATTACTACAGCTACAGGTTTTATTTTACTATGCAAAAAAAAATGCAGAGAAAAACAAAAAGCTCACAGGAAAAGGCATACATTGACTACATTATCATTTATTAATATTCCGTTGGTTCTCTCTTGTTTTTGCCTGTGTTCATAATTTCTTTGTATTACAGCCTGGGGGGGGGGAATGATGTCCGCACAATTTTCCATGTTTCATTGATTTAATAGAACTATTGATTCCAAGTACAATTATGCAATATTTTCACAAAATCTTTTAATAATATTTCAATAAAGGGTGAAGATGTGTCAATTTTCCTTTTGGCCACTACTGTACCTATTTAAATGAACACATACCATGGATTTCTATTGATTTAATAGAAAGCAAACTTAAAAAGAAGTATTATTAAAATAATTCTTTTAAATTTGAAGTAAACATATTCATACTTTACTTGAACAATATTGTACGCGCAAAAATTATGACTGAAACTTCAACACTCCAAAATGATTTGGTTTTGAAGTCATGCAGTAGAGGGCCCCACTGCACCAAAACCTCCCAAAATAGCCTAAACATTTCATCCACCAAAATCTGATTACAACATACTAAAAACAGTTTATGTTTGTGGTTATGTAAGACAGAGAAACGCTAAATAAGAGTTGTTTATGAGTGTCTGATCTTCCAGACGATCACCTGTGGTCTTTAGTGCCTATGTTGCAAATGCATTGACCCAATTCAGCTATTAAGCTCTGCAAATCCTTACCAGAACCAACCTGTCGGAATTACTTCCTCTTGCATACGACCAATCAAAAACATACATTCAAGCTGCAAATAAATACAGTACACAGACCTACAATCTACCATCTTTGCACTCACTTATTTGTTGTGTTAAGTTAATAATCTGCAACTTTCACAAAGGCAATCTGTTTATGTTTGCCTCCCGGCCAATACAGATCATTGTTCTTTTGCCATTGCTCTTTATGTGTGTGTAAATAAATAGCTGTGTACGCAGAAAGAGAGAATAGGGGTAATATGAGTCAGCGTGTGACCAGACTGTCTTACGTCCTTGATATGGGTGAGGGCTTTTATAAAAAAAGGAGATTTATAAATGAACGGTGCTCTTTCTCACAACTCACACACACAAAAAATCCCACAAAAAATTATGTTGAAACATTATGTATCTTGTTAGTAGCTCAGAAGGAGACATGCATATACAATATACAATACAGCCTCAGTTATTGTACATTATTTGTTATCTTCATGATCCAATCAATTGACAATGAATGAAATCAAATCCAGTCCTGCCTTTTTCTTGTTCAATAGCTTGTTTCAAACTAGCAAATGCTGTTTCACATTGATTATACTGACTGGAAAACAACATTCTAAAATGTTTTCATGCTTATAATGAGGCAAAAACAGTAACATTGTGAAATAGTGAAATATAAATAGATACAATACATATACTTTTGTATATCTACTTATTTGTGTGTGTGTGTGTGTGTGTGTGTGTGTGTGTGTGTGTGTGTGTGTGTGTGTGTGTGTGTGTGTGTGTGTGTGTGTGTGTGTGTGTGTGTGTGTGTGTGTGTGTGTGTGTGTGTGTGTGTGTGTGTGTGTTTAAAACAGTTGTGCTGCTTAATATTTGTGTGGAAAGCATAATACTTTTTTACAGGATGCTTTAATAGAAAGTTCAAAAGAACAGCATTCTTATGAAATCGAAACCTTTTGTAACATTAAAATGTCTTTACTGTCACTTTTGATCAATTAAATGCGTCCTTGCTGAATAAAGGTATTAATTTATTTATGAATTATTTATAAAAATTCTTACGGACCACAAACTTTTGAATGGTCAGCTCATGCATCTGGTTTAAAGCATGCATAAATAGTCTCACAGATCATATTTGTGCACATCATAATTAGACCAGACTCTTATCACACCGAAGCTCCACACAGGTTCTGTGTTTATGTATTTACTGTAAACATGCCTGTCTGATCTGTAGTGTGTGTGTGTGTGTGTGTGTGTGTGTGTTCTCAGATAAGGTCATCAGCTTCTCTGTCTTGTTTAGAAGCAGTGTAAGCTGTTGTGTCTCGAGCGAGTCTCGATGTAAGCCAGAACCCAAAGTGGGAAACAGTAAACTTCATAAACGTGTTCATAACTTTCAATTTCATAATCTTCTTAATAAAGGCCCATGCATGGGAGGCTTTAAAAGTGTTTTTAAGACCTAAAGTACTCTGTTTAAACTCTTTAAGAAGTTAACAAAGAATATATTCTTCACATTTAAAGCATGGGAACATTCACATCACATGAACACATTAATGCATTATATACCTTAGATCCGACTAATACAGCAAGACTAATACAGCAAGACTAATACAGATTAAACTTATTAGATGGAAACCTTTACACTGAAAGTCAAATGGACATGCATGCTTCTTAGCACTTCACACAGACTGTTTTATTCAAATTGAAAGGGAACACATTCAAAGTAGCCTATAGATACAATTTCTTGAATTTTGGCCACCTTTATTGTCCCAAGAGTTGATTTTTATGAAAATTTACAGATTTCAAATCTATAAATGTCAAATTAAAACTGTTAGTTTTTACACAAATTATGACTGTCCTGCATTTCTTTAGTTCTTTCCACCACAAAGTACTTGTTTAGAAGAGACAACAGATCTTGAGATGCATTATATATATATATATATATATATATATATATATATATATATATATATAGCTATGAAATTAGAATAGGGGGGTCAGCAATTTTATTTCAAAAATGTTCAAAAAAAAATATTTAAAAAAAAAACACATGAGAAGAAACACCCATAATGTTCTCTAAAAAGTATTTGGACTTCAAATGTATGAATTTAATTGTGTTATCACTAAATGCATTTATAGAAATATCAAACCAAGTTTTTTTTTTTTTTTTTTTTTTTACATCAATCCAAGTTGCAGCTGTAAAAAAAAAAAAATATATTAATCAACTAAATCCAGAGGGATTTTAGTGGAAGTATATGGAAAAAGTTCCAACGTCTAGTTCTAGGTTATGTTTTATTAATTGCTTAAACATTTTGTTTGTTTTTTGCCACTTGGTCTGCTTAGAGTAAATGAAAAACTTCTACACTAGACCAAAACTCAGGAGACATCATTTAACTGTTCAAAGACCTCCTGTCCCGGTAGGAGGGTCTGAGGGGGGCATCGCCCCGCCCCCGTTACCATGACAACTAGTTGATCACCGGCAATCTGATCCATAATGGGAGGAGCGGCTGTCCAGGTGCTGCAGCCCAACAGAACCGAACTGAGGTCTCAGACTCAGACGATCATCAGGAGGAGATAGTGGCCGGAGGAAAGAAGCGAGCGTGCGAGTGCAGGGCGCGTTCACAGTCGGGTTATTGTTCTGATTTAACCGCGGTCTCCTCACGAAGAGTCCCCACTGGCATCTCATGGGTTTGGAAATACTGCGCTTTTGATATACAGCGGATATAATGTTCAAGAAGAGCAAGAGCAAAGTTCTGGTGGATGAAGCGTCAGAGGAGGACGACGTGGCGTGGCATCACGAGCACGCGAGGAAGGTGAGGTGGGATGTTGCCCGTGGGCTTCAGTTCAAACTTGAGAGATCAGATGTGATCGTGTCTCATAGTTTGGTTGTTTCGTGTTTCTGCATGTGTAGTAAGTGAACTGTACTGTTATAACGCGTATGCGCCCCCGAGTGAGTCGTAAAGTCAGACTATGACAACAGGAGCGAAGCCATTAGTTTAGGAAATATCTATAATTTAATCTACTTGTTTTGAAATCGCTTTTGTATGACAATATGAAGTTTTTGAGGGTGATAAAAAGGTTATTTCAGTGTATGGATAATATTAATACTGGAAAAATTGTGTATGCATACAAGTAACTTATTTGAGACGTAGCTTAAAAGTAGCCTACTGAGTAAGTGTGTTACAGTGTGTTTACTTGCTTTTTTTGCGTCATAACTCGGTTATTTAAATGTCATATTTAATAGGATTGCCATGCACAGATTAGGCCATATTTTGGTTTAGAAAACAGAATGGAATCAGTTGGCCTGTATTAATCAGAATTTTGGCTCATGGAAACATCATAATTTAGAATTCTACATCATAACTGAATGTTTCTTTGTATGCTTGTCATCGGCCATTACTGTTAACTAGGAATATGAGTATTCATATGAGTACTGTCAATATGAGTATGGAATGTAATAGGACTATGGATATAGCAAAAATGTGCATATGAGTATGATATTATAGAAGAATATAATCCATATGAGTATGATGTTATAGAAGAATTACAGTCCACATATTCTCTATGAGTGTCATTATGCCAGGATAGAGTTCATGATCAGTCATCTATGGAAGCCCATTTCTCCAACAGAAGAAAAAAAATCATGTTTTTGTAAATCAGTTGTCATAAAAAGTCAAAATTATGACATACTGTCATATTCATGAGATTAAAAGACGAAATTATGACTTAAAAAGCCATAATTATGACATTAAAAAGTTGAAAAATGTCTAAATAAATGTTGAGATTGACAAAGTAAAAATGTTGACTTCTCTCATAATTGTTATTCTTTTATCTCATAATTATAACTTTGTCATAATAAAACTTTAAAACGTAACTTAAAAGTTAAAAAGTCAGAATTATGATTTAAGTCATATGAGATTTAAAAATCTTAATTATGAGATAAAGACGGAGACTATCATAATAGTGATTTACCAAAGCATGATTTTTTTTCTTATGTGGTGGAAATGGGATTCGATAGTCATAAGTGAGCACATAACATGATGTTATGTATTCCTGTTCTGATTTTCATGGATAAGAACATAAATTGATCTTAATTAAATGTGGTTCTTGCTGTGGCTGAGTTTCAATACAGATTCATGGCATTCAGCGCCGTCCTCCCTTTCAGATGTAATGTTCTGTCAGCTGTTAGTCTGCAGGAGTCCGATAAGGTCCCTACAGCGTAACAGCAGGAGACGGTTGCAGATAAGCTTTCTTTCACTCCCCCACAAACTTTTTTTTAATGTAATTTCAGAAGCTTGCAGTGAAAAGTTAAAGCTTCTCACTGTGTTCTGTGGCCAGTGTGATGGCCTTGACTAGGCCTCAGTCACATTCTTCCCAACATAATCTGTTCCACAAACATGTTTTGGATCTGAGGGTACATTTAAACGACAAGATGTACTAAAAACAGAAAAGTTTTTCGCATACAGACGACAACGAGGTCAAAATGATCCGTTCACACTGATCTGTGAAAACAACTAAAAACCCTGTATTATTCATGCCAGGCCAGTAGTTGGCGATGTCACTTTGTAAAGAAAACATTACGTGCCTATAGACTGAACACGAATACATATGCGCATGACGTCACTGTTTTTGTAGTTTACACGTCGGAGACTATAACGGTACTGTTTTCAAAAGCTTGCACTTTGAAACACGTTTTCAAAAGTTTGTGCTTTCAGGCCATTAAAACGCTGTTGTCATGTAAATGAACGGTCAAAAGCTCTGATACGCTCGTCTGATAGAGAGAGACATTATGACACACTAACCTTGCTGCTAGACCAAACTGTCTGATGGTTTTTGACCAGGGCTGGGTTTCCCAAAAGCATCGTAAGCTTAAGTTGGTCGTAGAATGATTGCCACCAATGGTCTCTACGATCAACTTAGGCTTGGAATGTATGTTTTTGGTCCACATCTCCTACTTTGTGAAAGTTGTCATTTGATAGAAGACCTGCTTCAGATTTTTTTTAAATAGGCCTACTATATGCACCAATCAAATATATTACCCTAACTGCTGCTTATTAAATACATTTATGTGACAATTGAGGTGATGAGGGGAATGGTTATCAGGTGTACAGAAAAGTATCATAGAACCATGGTATTCTCAGAAGTGCCATGCATGGATTACCAAGTAAATACCATGGTTTATTTCAAAGTACAATAGTATTTAATATAATGTCCATATGTATTTCAAAATACCATAGTAATGATCTTATTCCATCACTGTACCATGGTACTGCCGCAGTACTTTTTTGCAAAAAGATTAGTAAACACAATGGTAATTTATGGTTTTAATTAATGTATTGAAAAGATAAAGGAGATTTCAGCAATGTTAAACAGAATGAATGACCAAAAACACAGTATTACTATATAAAAAAACAACAACATTGTACCATGTACAAAAACATGGAAATACCATGGTACTTTGATATATATCGTGGTACTGAATGTTTACATTGGGATTTACAAAAAAAGCCCCTGACTACACACCTATGGTGCTACCATGATTTTTGGATGTGTACTATGGTTTTCTTAGTTACCTCGGAGCATCATCATGTAATGGTATATGAATTTCTGGACCATATTAGTAGTAACATCGTATTACCATCTGTACTTTTTCTACTTCAAAGAAAACCATGGTACTACTATCATAGTACATGTCCACAAAATTCAGTATTGCTTAGGTAAATATCCCAATAACCATTATTGCCATAGCACCATGTGCAAAACCACTGTACTGTGCTTAAAAACATAAAAATGCCATGATATACCATACTGGCTGCCATTTGTATTTACACACTTTTTTTTTTTAGACCATGGAATTTCCTTGGACTAGCATAGTATTTCCATATGATACTGTACCATGGTATTGCCACAGTACTTTTTTTGTAAAGGCATGCAAGGTACAGAGCATATACCATGAAATCGCACTATTGCTATGGTAAATGACCATTATTTCCACAGTACCATTTCCAAAAACATGGTAGTAGTTTTGTTATTCACGCTTATTGCTCATTCAGTGGTGGTACTAGGCTTGTGGTCGTGGAAGAGGGGAAGTAATGTTCTTATGTTGTTCAGTCTACAAAGGGATATTTCAGTGAGATCCGCTTCCTTCGGCAGCTAGTGAGTTTGTTCACCCAGAACTTGGTATGTAAAGCAGGAAGCCCAACGGATGAGGACAAACGAAACCCTAAACTTCCATACAGCTCCAGTTCAGTTCAGGTCCTCTAGTAGAGTTTTGATTTTCCTCCTATAAACAGGTTTTCATCGAGATGAATGTCCTCTCTGTTCCAGCAGTTTATATCAAGCTATTTCATGAGCGTTGATTTTATTTTAAACCATGTCAGGTTGCCAGTTGGTAAACATCATTATTTTGAGGTGCCGTCTTGTTGATACTGTGGTTTGTGTTCCTTCATAAATCAGTTTAAGGCCGAATAAATGGACTCCTCTACTCTGACCCCATGTTCTTCAATCATAAGCTTTTTTTTTCAGGAAAGTCAGGTCTTAGCTGTCCCTAATATGCCACGATCATAAGAAATGACAAAGTCCAGAGGGTAAAGAACTTAAAATATCCGAAACATTCCTCACTCCTTCATTTATAAATGAGCACTCGGGAGAGTATTCGCACTGTAATCAGGCCAAGTGCTTTGGTAAGTTGGGGTGGAGGGATGTTGCATTGATACAATGAGTCAGTGGGAGTAAAATGGAGGAGGCAGAGGATTGTGGGTAGGGGGAGGAATGAGATGGGCATTGCAGAACAGGTTGATCTTTCTCTCTCTTCGTAGTATGAATAATCTTCAAGTCATATCAGAATTATAATGTTTGCTCTTTGAGCTCTGACTTTTTGTGTTGGTGGAAGAGTTGGGGTATATATTTTATGTATTTACAATTTTATACACTGCCCAGCCTAAAAAAAGTTGGATTTAAATAGGCAAAATTATTATTTTTCTAGCATGTTATATTTTTGGGAACAGTTCTTCTAACCCTAATTGGAGTGTGTAGCTTTTCATTTCTTAACCCTTAATGCATGAATGTTTCGCCAATCATTATTACATATTCGGGTCTTTAGCGACCCGGATCTATATCTAACACGAATGGATCTCTACCTGTCGGCTGTCGCGATAATATAATATAGAGTAACAATTCGCCTTTGGCTAAGCCCCGCCCCCCTTAGTTACTGTTGCTACGTCCGACAAACAAACTTCATCTGGGCTCTGGTATCAACATGGCTTATGCTGTGACAGCTCTTCCTGCTGAAAACTTGATCAAACTTTTATAAAGCAGCAAATGTGTCTGATAGAAGTAGGCAAAAGGGGCTCCAATATACGTTCGAAGGCATACGTTCATGACATACAGGTGAAACGCAAGGAACAACAAGGCATCCAAAATAGAGGCAAAAGCATACCGGTCACAGTCAAAATATTAACCACCGCATATCCTTCTAATCGAGACGGAGGCTGGGACTAACAATATCTGTTCATGCAAAGCTGGGTAGATCTCTATTCACTTCTATAATCGTTATTACGAAGCAAACGGACTACGCGAGTATAACGTTGTATTTATTAGCAGCGTGTGCTAGACGACACTTGTCAGGATTTGACTTTGGTTTTGGGAAGGGAAAAAAACTGACACCCCCCTCCAACCTCTCTGGGAAACGCGTATCTGTGTTACAAATGCCCCAGGCACAACATTTAACCATATTTTTGATAAAGCTACGACAGTAATAGCCTGCCGAGACCAAAAATATGAGACGCCTGTGTTAAAAGGCAATGGAGCACTGTGAAAAAGTGTCGGACCACTGTGGGAGCTCGTTCTTGGCTGCGCTGTGATTGGTCAATCTACATTCTAGGGTGTGGCTTAGCCAAAGGCGAATTACTGAACAATAACATAAAGCATATTTTGTTACATTTTGGAACTTGGAATGGTTCAGTTTGCGCAGATGTTTTATACAATCATTACTGTCCTCGTAAAAGCTCATTTCCCAGTACATTAGCATCTGGCTCATATTCGCAATGTCAAACATATTCTCAAAACTATCATTTTCAACTTAAAAATATCTTAAAAATCAATATTTTGACCCTATACAATTTTTACAAAGCTGAATTTTCAGCATCATTACTCCAGTCTGCAGTGTCACATGATCCTTCAGAATCATTCTAATAATTTGCTGCTCACGATTTTTTTTTTTATTAATGTTGTAAACAGCTGTTTAATGTTTTTGTTGAAACATAATTTTTCCCCCCGGCATTCTTGGATGAAAAAGAATTATTTTGTAATAATATAAAAGTCACTACTGTCACTTTTGATTATTTTAATGCACCCTTGTTTTTAATTAAAAGTAATTGTTTCTTTCAAGAAGTCTTACTGACCCGACTCCCAAGGCAAAGACGGCAGATTTCTCCAGTATTTATAGACCTCTGAATAATAGACCTCTATAAACCACTGATTTATAAGTGGTTTATATTTATAAGTGGCAGCCTTAGGTGACAAACCTACATTTCCCATATTTCATTATGGCAGATGAAGCATCAAAATGACTTGTGTGCTCCCCTTGATGAAGTATAGCAATAAAACTTACACCGATTTATAAGGGTGACAGTCTCGGGTGACAAACCTACATTTCCCATAATTCCTTATGGCAGATAAAGCATCAATTACACACCTAATGTGCATCCTTTGCTCTTCACTTTGTTGCACTAGTGTTAAAAGTTTCCTGTCTTTGTGGGGAAGTGCAAAAGAGAGGTGAGAAGGAACTTTCCGGGAGGCGGCACTAGTGCAGGTGGAGCAGGAAGGAAGGGGAAGAGGTCAGACCCTTAACAGGAAGTTGAATGCCAGAGCAGTTCTGATAGATCATCCAAAAATAGTAATGGATTACATTTAATAATGATATATCTGATTATCACCTCAGAATTGAGGGATAATCTAGGAGTCTTCTTCTTCTCACCATTATGACTGCGTTTGAGCTAATTTTCAAGACCTCCCCAAATAAGACCTTGTTAGCATGCTAAAAATATTCCTTGCATTTTTCTGTGTGTTTGTTTGTTACATTACATTAGCATGTGTTTAAGTGTGTGCGCATGTTCTCATTGTGTTGTGCTCCTTGGCCTTTGCTTTTCAGGATAAAGACTCCGAGGGAACAGAGGAAGTTCTGAGCCCCTCAACAAAGGTAAACACACACGCATAACGCCTTGTTGCTTTCAACAGAAATGCTTAAATTTGTTGACGGTGTCCGGAACAATACCATAGCAACACAGTCAGGATGTGATGCAAAAAGATATAAAAAAACTGAATTGCTTTTTTCTTTTTCTTTTTGTTAGTTCTTTGTGAATGGGTGCAATTAAAGGCAAGATTTATAGTTTGATAGTACAGTGTAGACTATAAAGTGTGTGCGTGTTGTGCATAATCTGTTAAATGTTCAGAGAGGATGTGACACATTCTTTCAGAACAATCTGGACAATAGCAAAGCAGTCTTGACTCTTGAGACTAGCAAACATTCAGTGTCCTGCTTTCCTTCAATGGACTGCTGGTAATGTCATGTCAGATTTTATATTATCAAATAAACTATTCTGCGACCAGAATTAAAAAGACAGTTTTTTACATTCTGTGTACATTTTTTGATGTTGGCATGAGCAGCTGGTAAATGCAATAAATAAAATATTAGTTTATCCATTGACTGGTATTCAAAAGTAACTGTGTATTATGATGACATTTGTTTTCCAAGTTAAAGGGGCACTTGGCAACTATTTCAACTTAATAAAACCGTTTAGAAATCAGTTGAATGGTTTAATGACCTGTTCTGGAGAGAATGGTGACTTTCCCCGCTCCCCCCAGCGTTCCCGGGCGGAAAACCAACCTTGCAACATGGGGACTAACGTCCCCGTAAGTTGGAAATAGGAAGTCTCGTGAGAAGCGAGAACGAGACTCGGTAGACATAGCTCCACACAATAAAGTTGGCCGGCTCCGATAATAACAAATGCACATGGGTAGCGGTAGAAAGCGAGGGGAACGCGCGGCAAGTGAGTTTTTTTATGACAGTGTTGTGAAAATATACGCCGCACAGCTGTAGGGGGAGCTCGATGAGAAAACATGCGACAACAAAAGTGAAAATCAGCGAAGAAATGACTAGAGTTGCCAAGTGCCCCTTTAACATAAATCACAAATGGTTCATTTCTGTAAGTAACATTTTTAAAAAGTATTTAAATGACCAAATTCCAGGTGGATAACTACACAACCCATAATCTTGAACAGAAAAATCCAACAATCTGCTGCAAACAAATCAAAGGTCAAAAGAGGTCAGCAGTGATAAATATATATGGGATTTATGTACGTGTATTTATGCAATAACAGAATATAAAACTATTCCGAGAGTTGAAATAAATACAGTACATGTCAAAAGTTTAAAAAAATTGTTTTTAAAATATTATTTTTAATCAAAAATACAGTTAAAGCAGTACTATTGTGAAATATTATTTCTATATTTTAAAATGTAATTTATTCCTGTGATATCAAAGCATCATTACTCCAGTCTTCAGTGTCACATGATCCTTCAGAATTATGCTGATTTGATACTCAAGAAACATTCATTATTATCAATGTTGAAAACAAATTGAGCTATACTTAACATTTTTGTGGATACCATTGATACTATTCAAACATTTGTGGTAAGGTAAAAAAAATAGAGAAATGAATACTCATCAAGGACAAATTAAATTGATCAAAAGTGACAGGGAAGACATGTGTAATGTTACAAAGGATTTCTATTTAATAAATGAAAAAGTATCACCATTTCCACAAAAATATTAAGCAGCAGAACTATTTTCAACATATTGATAATAATAAGAAGAAATGTAACCCCTAGCACCAGCAGCAAATCAGGATCTGAAGGATCATGTGACTCGCGCAATGATGCTGAAAATACAGCTTTGCCATCATAGGAATAAATATTTTTTAAGATGCTGTATATTTCATGATTACTTCATTTGCAAGTCTTAATAGGATCGTAGTTTCACATACTTTTTGCTGCAAATCAATAATTTCTGGTTGGAATTAGAACTCTGAGTTCAACGACGGCCCTGGATATATAGAGTTTTTGCCATTGAAGATTTGTAGGAACTTTAATTTAGTTTTATTTTTGGAATTGACGATTTAGGTGTTTGATTTAAAGAATTGCATACGAAACTGAGTGCCCAGGAGCAAAACTGGCAGCATTTAATGTGCACTTTACATTAGTTGAAATGAATGCTCTGTTTGGACTTGGATGTTCTGTCTTCTGAAAGTTACAGTATGTTTTCATTGCACAATGAACTCTTTTAATCTCAAAGGATCATCATGAGAACCCTTTAACCCTTTAAAGAGGCTAAACGAAAGGGAATTTCACAGAGTTCTGCTGTGTGTCCTCCAGCGACGGCAGGAGCTCAACCTCAAGTTAAAGCGACAGTTGTTTATTTCCGTGCTTTAACAAACGAAGCCGAGATAGGGAGGACAGGACAGATGAAGCGACAGACGGAAGCCAAAAGAGAGTGTTGCGTTTTATTTGAGGCCGATCCTAATGTCTGTTTATCCGATGGAATGAGTAATGTGCTCTAAGACTCCTAATGCTCATAAATGCTAAATAAATGTGCTGGAACTCCTAATAAGAGCCGGCCCCGGCGTAACAAGCGTTTATGTGTTTGCGCATAATAGATGGCATGTTTTAGCACAGTGGAGTGACAGAACACAAAGGTCTTTGGTTTGAAACAAGACAGGGAGTGGCGAATCAAATTAACCACGTGCTTTTACCTTTTTTAGTGTTTGGTAATTTTGTGGTGAGTTTAATTCCTTCAGACATGCAGCAACAAATATTGAATATCTGTATAACACACACAAATGAATACGACTGAACTTGTAGATCTTTACATATCAAGTAAAGATGCTTTCGGGTGAATCTCACAGAGAAATTCTTGTCATATTTCACCCTAAAATAAATATTTAAAAAAATTTAAAATGAGAAATTATGTTTGCATTAAAAAAAATGAATCCCGTTTTAGAACCATTAACATTATTTGCATTACAAAATTTTCATGACTGTAAAGTGTAAAGTCATTCCCATTACTGTAATAATGTAATGAAAATCATCCTATCCGGATTATATTCAATAATAAAGTTTACTTGTTAAAACTTTCTTCATTGGATGTTAGAATGTTTTTCTTTTAGCAGATGGTTTTTGCTATTTATAATTTACCATGTAAGCAAGCATATTTTACACTTGGTTTTTTAATGTTTGGCCGATATTTCCCCAAAAATCGAATTCGATTACTCTAATGAAAACTATCCAGTGCAACAATAACACCATGAAGCACTTAGAAATGTTAATGAGCATTTTTTGTGGATTACAGTAATGAGCAGGGTTACCAAAACTGAAGCTAAACAAACCAACAAAAAAAAGTTGACTGAAATAAAATAAAATATAGAAAACTTCAACT